CAAGATGTGGCAAATACCATATATGCCCCTGGACCCCGCCGACCTCGGATGCAGTTACGAAGCTGTCATTCGTGTCAACGCGCAGTCCGGAAAGGGAGGCATTGCGTACCTCGTCAAGCAACACCTGCAACTCGACCTTCCTCGCAATATGCAGATCGCATTCTACAAGGTCATTCAGCGAATATCCGACCGCGAGGCGCGCGAAGTCACCGTGGAAGACATCACGACGGCGTTCCGCGAGACTTACCACTTTGGTGGATCGAAGTATGAAGGTAGACTAGCGCTCAAGTCATTCCGTATGACAACTGAGCCGTCACCTGATCCTACTGACGACGATGAACCTTTCGACGAGCGTCGTCGCTTCGATGGTACTATGTTGGTGGATGGCGTATTGCGTGTCATTCGCGGGGATGGCAATGGTCCCATCTCTGCTCTTCTTGACGCTCTGCGTACTCATTTGGACATCAATATGACCCTCCGCGAGTACACGGAGCACGCAGTTGGCGAGGGAGAAAATTCCAAAGCAGCCTCATACATCGAACTCGTCAATACCACTGACGACGTCAAGGAAACTCGCCAATCATCTGAGTCGTGGTGGGGTGTTGGACTCGACCCTGACATTTCCGCTTCCAGTTTGCACGCCGTATTGAGTGCAGTTAATGGTGCCATCGGTGACCGTATATTGCCTGAGCTGAAGCTCAGTGTCGGCTTCAATACCACCTCTGGCCAATCGGATGTTTCGGACGCTATCGTCAATACTCTAGGTTTGACCCTCCCTCGCAGATTGCAAACTTCCTTCTTCGAGGTCGTGCAGCGCGCCGTGCGTGAGTCAGATGGCAAAATTTTGTACGAAGACCTCACCCGTCTCTTCCGGGAGACATACGGCTACGAGGTCGAAGACAAGGGCAGGTTTTCTCTGGGTGACTTCCGTTTCGAGCGCGTCGAAGGCGGCGGCCCCCAGTTCAAGGGTGATATGGAGATCGACGGCGTAGTGTGCAAAGTCGTTGGTGAGGGTAACGGTCCTTTGTCCGCAGCCCTCGCTGCATTGCACACACAAGTCGAGGGTACTCTTGTCTGCCGGGAGTATTCAGAGCACTCTGTAGGAGAGGGTTCAGAAGTGAAGGCTGTCTCCTTCGTGGAGCTCGTATATGAGCTGCCAGGAAGGGTCAAAAAAGAAGCTGCTTGGGGATTGGGCAGCGATACCGACATCACTGCATCTGGTATCAGAGCTGTGTTGAGAGCGGCGAGCAGGCTGAGTGTAGTTGCAAAAAAAGCATAAGCTGGTGTTGAGCGCGAAGAAGATATTTTATATGAATAACGATGTATTACCTGGATGTATAATATCTGACATGCAATTTCATAGTTATGTTCAGAGGAAGAAGACATAATAGTCACGCAGTCACACTGTGACACCACTAGTTTACGAGCGTCTGTGTGACAAAGGACGCGTCCTATCTGGCTGGCAGTACGAACACTGACAACATCAATCCTGCCATATTCTGTCCATGAACTCAGCCTGAAAAACTCGAGCTGTAGTTTATAGGTGATCGGTCTTCGAATGTCGTCTCCACCCTCAACTCGCCCCTCAACGTCTTCCAGAGCAAATCTGCATGGCTCACAGTCCATATATCCTCCAGGAGGCCTCATGATGTCCAGTTCACGTCCCTTCCTCAACATGATAAATCCAATGAGCCGTACACACCAAGGCTATTTTCAAGCCAACCAGTTCGTTGTCGAGGAAAACGAGAACGAAAGCGCTGAGGAAGACCTAGAAGCAGGCCACGCGACCAGAGGGATCCTGTCCAAGAGCACCAAGTCACACGGAAATCACAGAGTATCATGGGACGGCCAGAGCTCCGAGATGAACATGCTACGGCCTAACATACGAAAGGAGGACAAGACGTACGAACAGGAATCGGATGACGATGCCCCTCAGCGCTTTATGATAGAGGATTCTTCGGCCTCTGGCCGCCCCTCTAAAGGCAAGGGCCGTTCACAACCTCTTTATTCCACATCTGCACGATCTCTTCCGCATGCAACAGCGCCTCCTATAGACACTCTACCTATGCTTTCAATACCCCCTAGACCGTCAGAACTAGACGTCGACGAATTTCCGCAGACGCCACCATATCAGCGGCCACAAGAATCATCCAAGCCTATGCGTGGGTTGGATGATTACGAACGTGCTCTATGGAACTGGGTCAACGTATATAACCTGGACGCGTTTCTGCAGGAGGTGTATCTGTACTATGAAGGCAAAGGGATTTATTCCATAGCGTTGGCAAGAGGGCTCAATCTCCTGTCAGTGCTTCTTTGTGCATTCAGAACTAATTTGCTGACTGCTAATGCGTAGCACAGTAGGATTCGTAATTGGGTTTTCGACATTCCTACTTGGGTGTGTCGACTACAGTCGTATTCGTGAGGATGAAACTACTCGGTTGTCGGACGTGGTAGTTGACCGCTGCGTATCAAAGTGCGCAATTGGTTCCAAGAAAGTTGACAGTTACGACATACTGACGTGCATGACATAGGTTCTCTGGATTTACGCTACTTTTCTTTCTGCTTTTTGCTGCGTTCTATATCTGGCAAATTATATCTTTTGTCTTCGAGGTCAGGCGCTTGGTAGACATGTATAAATTCTATACCTACCTCCTACGTGTCCCAGATGTACGTACACTTCAATCTTCACCCTTGCCCTGATGCTCATATGCCACGCGTATAGGCCGACATATCAACCATCGCCTGGCCCGAAATCGTGCGCAGGATAGGCGCAATACGCGAAGAAAACCCTATAACAGCCATATCTTCAGCGCACGGCACTAATGCTGCAACGCCAGCAACTGCTTCTCTCGACGCTCACGATATCGCGAATCGCATCATGCGGCAAGAGAACTACCTCATCGCACTGTTTAATAAGGACTTGCTTGATCTTCGCATGCCACTTCCTCCCAAGCTTAAAAAAATATTGAGGCAAAGTGATGACGGCAAGGGGCGGACGTTAACAAGGGTGTTGGAGTGGAATTTGCGGTTTTGTTTGATGGAGTACCTGTTTGACCCACAAGGACGCGTCAGGAAGGTATTCTTGAAAACCAAGAACAGAGCCGTTTTAATTGAAGGGTACGCCTTTTCCTCAGCTAAACGCGAGAAATTTTACGCTCATGTGATTTAGGCTTCGTCGACGTCTCATTTTTATGGGTATATTGAACGCTATTTTTGCACCATTTATCTTCCTCTACATGATCATGTTTTCATTCTTCCGCTATTTCGAGGTGCGTCACTCCTGCTATAACTTGTGGTGTTGCCTAACATCCTGCAGGAATACCACAAAAATCCGTCATCGATTGGTGGCCGGCGCTACACGCCCTTCGCTCAGTGGAAGTTTCGCGAGTTCAACGAACTCTCCCATCTCTTCACGCGGCGGTTAGATGAGTCACATCCCCTAGCGAGCATGTATATCGGCCAATTTCCCAACGAGAAGATGACCATCATCATGCGGTTCGTTCATGACTTCTCTCTTCATCAATTGCACTGATCACCTTTTTAGTTTCGTAGCTTTTATTGCCGGGTCCTTTGCAGCGGTGCTCGTGCTCGCGTCTGTCATCGATCCCGATTTGGTCTTGAACTTTGAGATTACGCCGCATAGGACTGTCTTATTCTATCTTGGTATCTTTGGGGCCGTGCTTGCCGTTGCGAGAGGGATGATACCAGAGGATAACAGGGTGTTTGATCCTGAGCTGCTCATGACAGAGGTCATTCAATATACGCATTACATGCCAGATGAATGGAAGGGGGAGCTACATTCCAAGAAGGTTGGTTGGTCCTAGCTTTCCATCGTCGAACTTGTTGACATTGGAACAGGTTCACCAAGAATTTGGAGAGCTTTTTGCGATGAAGATACCCATTTTCGTACAAGAGATTGTCTCAGTCTTGACGACACCATTCATACTCTGGTTTTCATTACCCTCATGCGCACCCGCTATCGTGGACTTTTTCCATGACTTCACTGTCTGGATACCTGGGAGAGGGTATATTTGCAGCTTTGCCGAGTTCGATTTCAAGAGGCACGGCAATGTCAAGGTGAGTCAATCGTTTCAAGTCTTTGTCTACGCCTACTGACCGTTGAGCAGTTCGGAGCTCCCGCGCAGAACCAAGATGAGCGTATGATGTCTCGAGAGGGCAAGATGGAAAAGAGTTTTTTGAACTTCAAGGTTCGTGACCTTAATATATAATAGTCCGTATTTCTAATGACTGTTCCTGTCATTCAGGCAGCGAACCCCGACTGGAATCCATCAGATCCCTCTGGCTCCCTGTATCTCAGCCGCATCGCCGACCTCAGTGCACGGCGCAGACTTTCCACTTCAAAGACAGCATTAGACAATACCATCCTACTGAACGATAGCAACAAGGACCCCGCAGAGCGTGCTCACGAATACGACCGCGCTCTTCGGCAGAGTCAGCATGCTGCCCTCCGCCGAAGACTCCAGCTAGGTGGGGGCAACATCATCGCAGGTGGAGGCGGTATCACTTCTTCGACTATATGGCAGTCGGCCATTAGCTCGAATTCAGCTATGGGCATGGCACAGACCGCGATACTGGGCGACTCTCAAGGAAGTATTGCACCTCTGCAGCCGCCGATACTGGATGAGGACAGGGATTTAGATGGTGGTGTTGGCAGTGGACTGGGCGATTCATACGTTGATGGGGACACTCAGGGCAAGAAGCCGTACGAGTCACAGGAGGAAGGTATCAACGACGAAGAGGAGTTAGAGGACGGTGGGGTGCTTGGGCTACTGGCGCAGATATATGCTGCGAAGGGCCCTAAACATGTCCCTGTCATCTGAGGGCTGCGTACATGATTTCTATTAAACCACATTAATGCTTATATCTTGCACATTTGTAAATGCTCGCACATATGATTTCTATCCTGCGTTTTTGTAATGCCGACTTCGCGTGAGTCCAGGTAGACTGCAAAACTTCCTTCGAACAGAGATCTACATATCTTATACGACAAGAGGGCGTGACATTCCTGTGACACCCGTACTGTCATTGGGTCATGTGAGATGTTTGGCGTCAAATATGAAATTGTCGTCGAAAACATGAAAGCAGAAAAACCATATACTATTCAAGCAACAAAGACTCAAGATGCAACAGCTCTCTCTCTCGCTAGGATCTCTTCTACGCGTTTCACCTTGTGATCATTGCCATCACCCACGGGGGTATCTCGATCTATGCGTGTACCGATACGGATGTCTGTGGCAACTCGAGGGGCACCTTTGGCGTGAACTGCAGTATGGCAATCATGTATGGCTTGAGACACTTCGCTCCAAGGCCCCTCTAACAAGAAAATTCAATCAAAGACCAAGGGTTGATTACCTCTTACAACGTACCAAGATTAGTGCCGTACCCGCTGAAACATGTGTCATTATCAGAAGTTTGACATACAAATAAAAAATCTTACTGCATCTGAAGCAAGATTAGTTATTTTGAGTATGAAAACTCTCCCATGCTCACCTTGAACGTCAGCCCTGATTGTTCCAAAACTCTCTGACACTCTGCGATATATTCTGCAACCTAAAACGCATTTACTTTGGACGATAATCCCCTATTTCCAGTGGACGTACGGAAGATTCTCCTGTTCCCATTGGGATGAGACAGAAATCTGAACAAATTGTGAGGTCATGAGGTAATGAATTTTACTGAAACTACAAACCTGCTACGGCATAAAGATCACTGGGCATGTTGGGCGTTATTGTCAAAGTCGAAATACCCCCTTTTTTCTTATAAGCATAGCTCCGGAGAGTGCCGAAGGCTTGATTTAGGAATAAATATTAAAATAACGTTTATGGGTTGCGCAGCGCTCAGAGTAGAGCCATAAGATGCCTTCCGCCGCGCTGCAATCAAGGATCAAAGCTTTCGAGGCTCTCGCCGACCAGCGTCCTTCTCAAACGACGACAAAACCTTCGTTTGTCGTTTTAAAGGCAAAATATCCTCCTTCATCTAATACTAGTCACCTCCTGGAGTCACCTATCTCACCTACCTCAGACTCAATCCCACCAATTGCTCCATTTACACCGTCAAAGTCTTTGAGCAGGTCACCGTCACCGTCGCCTCCAAATCTAGGTCGTAGAACTTCATTAATTGACTTAAAAGACTGGATTGTAGATGATGGACCAAACGGGGCACCGTCCGGCGTCTCACACTACAATGGCAGGCATCTGAAAGGCTTTCCAGATATCAGAAGAACGCCCCCACAGGTTCCCCATAAACCTGCTGCTGCTCGTTTAGCACCAATGTCTTCAGCACCACTCATCAACTTGGAATCCCCTCCTAAGTCACGTCCGCCCCTCCCACCACGTAAACCTTCATATACATCGACAGACTCTTCACCTTCAATTTCAAATTCTGCTATCTCTGACAGCAGTGCTACTCTACGACCCCCAGGGCACTCAGAGTCACTCACTGTAGAGCACACTTACCCCCCTCCCCGTCCACATGCTTTTGGCTCAGCCCGCGCAAGCCACGCGCCCGCTTCTTCCATTTCATCATTTCATTCCGTATCTCTTTCTGATGGAAGCGACCTGAAACCCATGAGCTCAAGACTGTCCGTACAGTCATCGCTTGTGACAAATGGTGATAACGATGGCAGCGTGGACGGGGACATCGCGAGCATCGCTGACTCATTTGAGAATGTGTCTGTGACTTCCGCGATAAGTCCTACCACCAACATCCCTTTTGATTGGGGGAAGGCCGTTAGTAACGGCAACGGCATACCTAGGCCCGAGCCTCCAAAATTACCTCAGCGACCAGGTACAAAACTTCCCTTGTCGCCCCCCGTTTCGAGATCAGTGTCAACATCGTCATCTATAACGCCCACCACTCACCGACCCCGACCTCCACCTCCACCACCTCAATCACGCACTAAACTTCCTTCCCGCACATCACCTGCATCCACCTCTGCATCCACCTCCGATCGCTCGTCCATCCTAAGCAACGCAACCACCGCCTCCCTGACAAGCATAAGTACCACAAGCATAAGTACCCGAAATAGCGGGCAGTTGACACATAAAGCTTCATTACTCCTGCGACCCACGCCAGTCCCGCCTGCTGCACGGACACGCTATGAAGCCTTATTTGTTGCGACTGTGATCAGTCGACGGAAAGCTGCCAAGAAAGCCAAGCTGAAGTCCCCACCATCATCTACATTGTCAGTCAAGAAGAGCAGACAAGCTGCTGGCTGGAGAGGGCTTTCAGTCGACCTGATCACCAACCCGGAGGATCATCCTTTACTACCCTTGAAGGATGCAGAAAGCGAGAATGACGACGATACAGATCTAGCCCCAGTTAGACCTGAAGAGAGACTAGGCGGCCGAATAGTGAAGCTCGTTTGGAATGCTTCAAAACTTGACCGCGGCAAACTCCGGGACATATGGTGCGCATTGCAGTCCTTTTGATGCACCCATACTCATTCATTCTTCACTGCAGGAATGACTGTGATTCGTCCTCGACCGGCTTTCTTGACCGTGAAGCATTCGTCAAGGGAATGTGGCGAATCGACGAAGAGCTCCGGAGAGCCCAGCTGACTAGACGGACGTCTGCACTCAGCGCCGCTTCGTCGCAACGCATTCCCCACCGCCCGAAGAATGCGAGCAATCCAAGATTGTTATTGCAATAGTAGGACATGCTTCCCTTATACCCCCGCACTCTTCCATACCCGTGGACTATGTAATAAGTCATCCCTCGCGACCATGCAATATACTCACGATCTAATTGCTCTTGCCGGACTTGGGTGCGTACATACGCTTTATGGACTTTTAACTTGTTTGTGGATGCCAAGCACCAAAGCAGTGGAGCCTTGAATGCTCTTATCGACGGCCTTCGTTTTTCCAAGATTAAATAAACACGAACGCTACCAGTTGGAGTCATTGAGAAGCTGGGACCACGTCTAATTCGGAAAACCTACCGTCACCAGGAGATAGCTATTTATTAAGATGAAGCTTCCATTCCAGTCTGGTCAAGTCTGGAACACGGATGCGATACTGCCAGCGCAATACCAACGGTTGCAGGCGAAGAACGTCGAAACATTTCACCGACATTTCGCAGTAGTGCAATCTACAGACGAAACTTCGCATATCATAATCATACTGGTCTTCTCGGGCCGGTCCTGGGTGGCTAAAAGTTACCAGTCACCTCATCCATGATCGCTACAACGGGTACTTCAACCCATAAATTGAATATACAAGTCCCTATACTTTTCTGGGGAGACGGCGCAGGGTACCGAGTGTGATCAAATTGCAAATCATTCATTCAATTTCAATTCCATACAACGAGCAACCTCTCTCGCCCAACTTAACAGTTCCTACACACCTCACCCCAACACCGTACCGAATAATTCCAGATATGTGCATATCATAAGAACGAGAAACAAAACGTAGGAGGAAAGTGTAGTCGCTGGAACGTCGCGAGGTATCTAAATAAATAAATGAAACTTAAACATGTGGTGATACCTGCGTCAAATCATTAAAGACGACATCGCAATGATCATTGAAAGACATACACTGGCCCGAGCCCGCGGTCCAGCTCACGAACGATATCAAATTCAATAGCGTCTGCCATCAGAAACCAGACTGCTGGTACGCCCAGCGTTCCGCCAGTCTGGCTGGTTAGATGCGACAGGTCGATCTAGGCATTCCTGGGGAACCATGCCTTGTTCACCACGCCCATTCACGCAGAGCGCCCATGCGTCGTCATACTGAGCAAGCACATGAATGCGCTCGCCCGCTGTGACTGAGAGCTCGTCAGGAAGCGTGGGGATAAACGCGCGGTTGACAACTGCCTCTGGGGCAGTTGGAAACATGGGTATAGGCGTTGTAGTAGGGGCAGGTGGAGAGTACAAGTTGGCTCCTACTGCTGCACGTGCCATGGCAACAGCAGAGTCTCCGGGGCTTAGAGAGGGTGGTGGTGGTTGGGAATACATGGGCATCGGATTGTTATACGAAGCGGGAGGCGGGGCTGGGCCCGCATACCCTGTGAATGGACTCTGCATCCTCTGGATTGGAGGCTGTAGGGGGCCCGGATATTGCGACTGTCCATGAGCTACAAAAGGTGATTTTGGTGAATTCTTCAGCGAAGCAGGCTTTTCAGAGAAATCATCACTGGGAGCTGCAGGAAGCGGCTTGGTCTCGTTAAAAATATTGCCGGCGGGCCAAGAGAGGCGACGGTTCTGCCTGCGGCGGAGATACGTTTTCCGAACGATGAATATGATCAAGGCCAGGGCAACAACTATGGAAGCTGCGATAATACCACCAAGTGCGCCGCCAGAGAGAGTCTGGCTTGATGCACTACTGACATTGTTAATAGCTGTAGCGGTTGCGCTTGGAGTGGTAGTAATGAAAACCACAGATTGAGACGTGGTATGCGAGGGACTGATAGTCAGGCCCGTGGCAGCGGGGCTGCTTGTGGACAAGGTGGTTGAGGGTGAAGCGAGAGTAGAAGTGGGAGTGGGTTGCAAAGAAGCTGAAGACGTCAACGTCTGCGAGGTAGATGCAGATGCAGATGACTGTGAAGAACTAGTCTTCGCTGTCGAGGACACTGCAACAGGTGTGGTGGATGTCGTTGAAGTGGTTTTGGCGGTAGTGCTTTGACTTGTGGTAGTAGTAGAGTTTGTGGTAGCATCTTCAGCAAACACGAGAGGAGACGCATATGGGTCGTTTACAGGCTGGACATGACCTAAGCCGTTTTGCGTGCCGCACCCGCTCAGCAGGCATGCGTCGAAATTCGGAGTGCATATTGGTACAAGCGGTTTAAGTAGACTCGAAAGGTGGGAGTGCTGAACGATTACAGCTGGAATTTTGTAAGGAATGTGGGTGGAACCCTCAAGGGAGACCTGCCACGATGAAGATGGCAAAGAGAGAGGATGGGGCTACGTAGATGGTTACCCGTTACGATCACGGGACGGTCCATTTACTACGGGCCACAACACGTTGTCAAGAGTCAACGTTTCAACGACATCAATAAGCGTCGATAATAGATTTTAAGTTATAATGGAAGAGAAATAAATATATAAATGCACGATCCATGTAAACTGCGAAGCAAACCGCGAGTACGATACATAGAATAACAGCGATAGAGTACAAGTGCCTAGAAGTCGGACGCCTTTTCCAGTTGTTGTCGTTTCCGCGACGCACCACTGCAGCGAGACCAAGAATAAAACAAGTCAGTACACCATCAACAGCAGTGCAGCGCCCTACTCACACATCAGTGTCAAGACCTCGTTTTTTCCCAGACTTTGCCTCATCCAAGAATTTATCCAGACCGAAGACGTCCCCTGTATCCTTCTCAAATTGTACAGGTCCCTCACGGACTTCTTGATCCTCAGCTCCCTCAAACCCAACACGTGCCTTCCCAAGACCAAATCGATCGTTGTCGAGAGCCTTACCGATACCTTCCTCGGTCCCACCACCGAATGAGTCGTCGTTGCCTTCTGCAATATTGCCCCTAGCCTTGTATATCGCCGCTGCCGCTGTCGAGCCGTGGAACAACGGCCGATCGTACAAGTTGTAGTTGTCTTCATCTGCAAACGAACCACTGAGCGACTCCTGATTAAACAGCCTTGAATCCAGCATGCTCTCTTTCGATATGGTCGGCTTGGCAAGACCGAGCGCAATTTTCTCTGAGATATCACGATTTTGTTGCCGTGCAAGCATCTTGGCACGCTGCTCGGCGCCCATGTTCGACATCCGCATTTCGCGTTCGCGTTCACGACGTTTCTCGGCACGCATTTCGTCGCGGAGTTTGCGAGCTTCCTGTTCTTCTGAATCTTCCGGTTCAGCGTCCGATGCAGAAGATTCACTGCCGCTGCCATAACCAGCAAGAGTTGACGTGACTGCAGCCCGAGATTCTGCAGTTGGTCGGGAAGGTGCGACACCACTGCGCTCTTGGCGAGCGCGCTGTGCAAGCATGCGGAGGTTTTCCTCTTTGGATTCTTTCTCTTTTTGTGCAAGTTTTTGCTGCATGAGTGCACGTTGTCGAACTTCTTCACGAGCATGCCTGTCTGCGACAAACAATGCTTCTGAGAACTTGGCAAAATTATCGTTGATATGAACCTGTAAAATTAAACAAAAAATCAAAAATATTAGCCTGGAGTCAAGAGAGATAGTACTACTGACATCTTGAAGACCCCGACCGTCTGCGGCCAATCGTTTGTCGAGTGGGATAGTAAAACCTTTGTTGTTCTTCCAATTGGATATACACGGTGGGATCATCCACTCCTTCTGCTCTGCCGCCGTCGCCTTCCTTGGTGGACTGCGCAGTACAGGAGGGGGAGGACTGGGTGGTCCCCTGGGAATCTTCTTATGCTTAAACCTCGGCGGCTCCATCGGATCTTCCACAACCTCTGACATTTTGATAATCCTCTGCTTAAGCGCGCCATTGTCCCCTCCGTTCTGCTGGCCGGGTGTGTATCTTATATATGTCGTCTTCCCCTGCGCATCCGGGACATGCTTCGGTTGTGCAGCCTTGATCTTTCCGGAAACAAGTTGCTCAAGAGCGGCCCGGGTTCTATCCGCAGTGGCTTGAACTTCCTCCTCAGAAGGGCGCTCCATCGTCCGCTGTTCCTCCGTGAGGTCTTTTCGATGAGCGATAGGGACGAGGTCTTTGAATTGGGACTGAATATATTTGCCAGAACGTTGGCCTTGGTGAGCAATAACATCATAACGAACATTGCCTTCGCTATCGACTTGAAGAGCAAGAGTATTTCCTGCGGCCGTCTTCAGGTGTAGACTTAGTAAACAAGTGCAGAAGCATGAAAAAGCACTCGCCTTCTTCCGCCCGAGGTCTAATGGATATTGTGCAACATGACATTCGGGATATGAACCACCATCTCCTGCATAAAAGCTCAGGAGGCTCATAACCATGGGATGAAAATGTATACGTACCAAAGTCCTCAGATTTTAGCGGCTTCCATCCCACTCGTTGGCCGTATGGCGGTATTGGTGTGCGAGTGATCACAGATTGAGACGGAGCAGGCTGAGGAACTTCTTCTTCTTCATCTGAAACAACAGGGGCATACGCAGGTAGTGGAAGTAGACTGCACCAAAATGTCAGCATCATTAATTATCATTCACAAAGTAACTTACGCAGCGAGGGCAGCCATAGCAGAGATGATCGTTCAATTCAATTGCTTACGAACACTACACTCAATGAGTTTTGTTTATCTTTGTTTGTGGCGGCAGGTGTAGTAGTATTTTTTTGGTTGTAACAGATATAGCACGGCTCGATACATAGCTACATAGCAGTAGCACGGGCATGAGCTCACAAAATGTCGATTCTGCGCCAAAACCTAGCCAAGTGCAAAAGTCCGGCGTAAGAGCAGCTTTCGAATACACTGGAATTCCACCATCCTGGTTCGACAAGCGTCCCAAACTTCCGTCCCGGAACTGGCTCATATTCCTCTCGGTGACCACCTCTATCGTCGCGTACTATGTTTATGACCGCAGAGAGTGTAGACGTATACGTGCAGATTATTCCTCACGCGTCGAACATCTTGCCAAAGAACCACTGGGTACTACAGACCTGCCGCGCAAGGTCACCGTATACGGCGCGAAATGGCCCGGAGACGAGGACCATGATAAGAGCTTGAAATTCTTCAGGAAGTACGTCAAGGTGCGTACTATGTATTTGAAATTGAAATACGCTCACCATGTCTATCTGTAGCCGATTTTTGTAGCAGCTGCCGTTGACTATGAGATGATTTCGGGGCGCCGAAGTGGTGACCTCGCCAACCGCATTGCGGACGAGATTAAGACTCGTCGACGTATTGATGCTGGTATCGAACCTCCATCCCAGAGTCCAATGCCTTTGCCTAACCAGCCAACTCTCGAACAAAAACGCAAGCGAGAACTCGAGGGCGGCATCGTCCTCGTCGGCCGGCACACACTGAAAGAGTTCATGTCGGGGCTCAAACGCGGTTGGACGGAGAGCATGGATCGCGTTGACAGGGAAGACATGCTCGCACAGGAGCTGGCGTCGGATGGCCGATTTGATGAGCCAGAGGAACCCGTCATAGATCCCGAGGTAGTAGATGGGGAGCCCTTACCAACCCGTTCCCGCCTTCTACCTTCGCAGAACGTGGTATTATTCCCTTTGCAGATGTCTTCTTCAAGCCCATCAAAATCCACGCAATATACTTCAAACATTCCTGCACATTTAGACACGCCACCATCGACTACACCAACCCTGCCAACGCTTCTTCTCGTCCCCTTCACAAATCACATTGGCTTCAGACAGGTTCCTAATATGTTATGGGGATTCTTCAATGAGCGGCATAAAGTCCGGGCTGGTTCTGAAGCAGCTTACTCTCTGATAATGAGTCACGTGCGACCATTCGCAGCAGCCAACACGATTGTTACTGCTTCAGAAATTCAGGAGTCGCAGTTGGACGGACGTCAAGGAGGAGACTTTGATTTCGACCTTCCTGCCGAATCCTATTACGATGGTGCTTATACACCGTCTGAAACAGAGAAGGCGCGCAAAACTTACTATGATGCACTGCCCGCAAAGCTAGCGACTGCACGTGCATTAGCACGAGGCACTCGAGCCCCTACGAAGGAGGAGGATAGTCATCCCCCGCCAACGGAAGTAGAACTCCGTGCAGAACGATTGAAGAAGGAGATGAGATGGCGTGGCGACGAGGCTGGTTGGGAAATCGTGAAACCCGGTCAGCCTGTGCAATGGGACGAACGATTTGTCGACACCCTGCAGGTTTTTGACGAGCCTCGAGCAGACGACGTTGGTTAATACGTGACCCAGGAGCTAGCGCCAAACTGCTGACTGACATCCACTCAATTGACCCCATACACATAATCTTACAGCAAGTACCTATACGTTACAAAGGTTCAACCCATCACACATAACAATTCGTTATTATACAATGTCAACTGCACCACTCTCCAACCAGCTTTCGAATTCAGCAAGGACATCAACATCGGCCACGTTTTTAGTTTTTATCTCTTGGTTCGTTCGCTGATTCCCGAGGTTGACAGGGTTTGAGGTTCGCCTGAAGGAGACTGGAGGGAGGTAAGGCTGGTTGGTCGTGTTGTTTTCTACACCAAATTGTGGCTGGGATTTACTAGGTTGGAGACATTGCGATGTAGCCTGAAGCTCCGCGCCAGAACGTGCGATTCCTGTGGCCCGAATATACGCCCTAGTCTTCTCTTCATCCTCACGGAGAGAAGGTTCCACTGCTTGTTGAGGCTCCGGCAGGATGTCAAAGTAAGATTCATCAAAGAAGAAGTCATCAGAGGGCTGTTGCTGGGAGACCTTGGATAGTGATTGCATGCCAACCTCAACACTGGAGGATCCTGCAAGAAAGAGCGAATGGGAATTTGTGGACTGGACCGGAATATCGCACTCCTAGAATAATTAGGGTCAGTTGACGAAGAGCATTTTTAACGTTTCACCTTTGCAGCCAGTAGGGCAGAGGGGGTACCAAAGAGCTTGAGGCCGGATTTGAAGCGTTTCGTACGACGGTCCTCATTCGCTGATTCCTGTCTCGGGGAGTAAGGCCTGTATGACGCGTTGTTGCTCTTCAGACGCTTCCGAGGGGGCGAGCTATCGGGAGGTAGAGGGTCGCATACCCGTTTGCGAGTAGGAGAGGGAGTCAAGGAAAGAGCATCCATTGCGGTGTCGTTAAAATCGTCATCTCGAACTAGCGCACCAATCTCTGAGCTCGAGTGATTCTTCGAGCGAACATCCTTCCCTTCGCACAGAAGCTCATAAATATTCGCAAGGTCGTCATCTGATTGTGAGTCACTAAGTATGTCCTTAGAGGAGGGCGGTGACTGTGAGCACTTCAAGGTGACGAGCTCGATATCAAAGTTTGGGGCTGGTTTTCGTTTCCTTGACGAAAGTGCTGAGGCATCTTGTTTCAGCCGTTGACCTTCAGAGAGCCCCAACTTTCGATTGACATCAGCACCTGTATGAAGCGAGTCACGTTGCTCAAGAATTAGATCACGTTTGGTTGTCTTTTGTCGCTTGGGGATTGGGACGTCGCCAAGGGGAGCGGTAGTTCGACTGTTGGGCCCAGTAGATGACAGGTCGATGGAGGAGTCGTGAGCTTTCTTTGAACTCAGCAGATGGCCAGGCTTTGTGTTCTTTCTTGGGATGCGAGAAGGTTCTGTGAGCCCGTCACGGCAACTATCGCGCACTTCTCGTCAGCAGGAAACTGCAGGATGATTATAGGCAAAAAAAACTCACCAAAAGTGACGGCAAGCAGATTTATCCTTGCAGGTGTGATTACAGCTGTGATTTATGTCGGCATTAAGCAACCAGATAACAATAGAAACGACTCACTCATATTTTCCGTCTGAGCGTTTTTTAGCCTGTGCGTCGTCCTGCACGGGCGTATTGGCTGTACTCAGATCATTCCCCTTCACTGTAGGACGCGAGACAGATTTCATTGTCTTCTCTTTGTGAGGGTTGATACTCTTTTGTGCTGATGTCTTGCTTTGCAGTGGGCTACGGGGTCGAGTGAGATCCTTGATGGGGAGATTCAATTCGTCATCGTCATCAGGTCCCATATCCCAAAAGTCGGCAACATCTTCCAGCCCTTCCAAATCCATTTCCTTCGAGAAGTGAGTCCATGTAATGCGATCTGCATTTTGCTTACCAAAGAAGTCATTGGGCGAGTATCAAGCGTTGGATATCTGTTTGTGGGTAAGGAAGGCTTGAAGCTCTCAGTTACGGTAACCCCAGCGATCTTATCCTAATTGTATGAATTAGCCAATATGCCCGCGATATTAGTACTCCCTGCTGACTGAAGAGATCGAGACGTTGATGGTCTGACTCGGTCTGGTAAGCTGCGCGTTGATTACGAAGGATTTCCCTTCCCTCAGTACCTTCGTCCTAAGGCATTGATTTCAGTGAAACTCCACATTGATAGTATAGAACTCACGAGATACGGCGAAAGTCGATGAAAACGAAGTCGGAGGTAATGGTGAGAAGAGTTGTCATATCGAATCTACCCCTCTTATGTTTCTTGGACCCCGTAGAAGCTCTCTTGTCCAAGAGGAGGCCACATTCGACGGAGAGTTCGATATCTACTGGACATTTCCCATCGCTAGGCGAAACCTTCACTTCCGTTAAGGTGAGGAAGTAACTCGGTAGCTCGTTAGCAGCCAACAAAACTTCAGACCCAAAGGGAGATCTGCGATTCAGGAGCTAGCTGGAAGTTAGCTTGTTATAGTATCGCCCAGTTACGAGGTTTCACCTCTTCGAGTCTCAATGGGCTGGTGCTTCGTAACTTGGGAATTGAAGTGATGTGATTCTCGGCCAATATCTACTTATGCTGGTGCTTGTAGTCCGATTAAGATAAGTTGTTTCAGATCTCTACCTTGATTCTGCAGGACCGATGTGAGTAGAGTACATGGCAAGGCAAAGTAATTCACTGACGATTTTTCGCCGATATATTCTAATTGTTTCAGGACAATCGGTCTATCTTCCCATGCCTTGGCATGAAGACAACGCACTCTAGAAGATTCTTTTCAGCCATCTAAAGATCCCAGCCACATCAAACGTACAATTCCAGTCCGTGCTTCACTTGCGCACCGTTCTTCTTTATGATGGCCACTTCCGCAACCGCTGGGATGTTCAGGTCGAGGAATTAATGCAACTGTAGAGAGGAAATTTTACCTATGGCAATCCGGCTAACATGACGAAAAACCGATAATGCCTCAAGGCATGGTTGACTCTCCCCGTTTCTGTACTCGGCACTATTCAAGGGTAGACCGCCTAAAACCGCCTTCAAGGACGTCATTTGAAGCACAGGCAGGTGTGAACACAACAGCTACCTGCATAAGCAAGAACACTTTGTCACTCGTGCCTTGAATTTTTTTGACTGCGAACCGAATATCATTATGGCGCCTGATTTTCTCGTATACCTAAAAATGGTGAACCTCAGCGATGACATTCATGCTTCACATTTCCTACCTGCTTTTCACCACTTCGTAATTTGAGGTCGGATAATCTGTATAAAACAGTTCTTGCCGTGAGGTCAAACTAGCTGTTAAAACTTACTCTTCCGAGGTGGATATCATCTCAAGCTGTCACCATGATTCCATTAGATCATCGCTGAAGAGTGCCCATTAGCTTACAATATCGCGCAAAGATGCAGTTGGAGAGAGGTCCAAGATTGCCTTCATCTATTCATGATCAGGAACGTGCTGTTAAATGGCGCGAAAATCTCACCGTCCCACGACGAATGTAGAACTTCATAGGCTGTCAGATCGTATGCCACACACAGCAGAGAAAACACTTCACCTTGCTCATAATATCGCCAAATTCAGTAGAACTCAGCTCTCCATTGCGCGGCGAATAGGTGACCAACTCGGTTTCCCGTAGCTGCTCGATACTGTCCATCACAATGCTGTCCACCTTGTCCTGCCAAGACTGGCCGTCGTCTTTTCCGATATTATAGTGCTGTGGATTCTTTTGTATTCGGCGATACAGGAATGAGCGAAGAAGCCATTCCTGTGCTGTCTTGACGTCGGAAATAGTTCCCAGACCAATTTCAGAGTTTAGGTGCTCGGTCAAATTTGTGTGCAGACTACTCTCCAGAGGTGTGGTACCCTGAACGAGATCGCAATATTTCCTCTCGAGTTCAGTTTCGCATAAAATGATAGCAACTCCTTCAGTATCTGAGTGCAGGACGAGAAACGTCAACAAAAAAGTGCAGGATGGAAAAATAGGTACCAAATTGTGGGCGACCCTATCATCATAACATCAGAACCAACTGATAAATAGGTCGTAGATCGAGTGCGCACCGCTCGTCCCATCATCTGCATAACGTCGAGATCCGAGTACTCTTTGGATTCGCCATTTTGATATAGTTTAACGCCCTTTATGACGACCAGATGGGCAGCTGAAAATAGAATCAGTGTGGCCGAAGACTACCGACGGATGATACCTTACGCAAGTTGACTCCGACCGCTAAAGTCTTTGCATGACATTAGTGACACTCAAATAGAGGAGACAACAGATCCTAGTATTCACCGACGTAGCCAGAAGAACTCGTAATACTTTACGCAGATACAAGTCTTCGATGGTCTTCCTGTCGTCGATAGCGAGTCCAGCATGATGCACGCCGATTCCCAAAGCAGCCAGAGCTGCAAGTGATGAGTACCAGTAACAATATTTCCTACCGTGCAGTACTCACGAGCGAGATCTTTGTCATGAAAAGTCTGATCAATCCTGACCATCCATGAATATCCTGTCTTATTTAATGTCTTATCGCTCACTGCAAGGGCATGCTCCACGGGAGCAGCTGTTTCGCCTTCATGGTTTCTTCATATTCTTTAGCCAATTGCCTGGCGGTTGTGATGGTCCCTACAGAATGCCTGATAGTAGTAGATGTGACTAGTAATCGCGATGTCATACCTTTTCTCGTCGGACAGAACACGAGGATTGGTTTGTCAACGGCGTGTTGTTGTAAAACGGTGAATAGGCGGGTATCAAGAGTATGCGCATATGCAAAGTCATTCTGACCTTTCGGCTTGACCACGCCATAAACAAACCGAGTGAGTTTACAGGACCGATATTCGTCACCAAACTGTATTGTTCATTAGCGTGAACTATGCATAAGCCTTGATTTGATTACCTGAAATATTTGACCGGGATGATCACTAGACGCATGATTGCTCCCAATCCAGCTTGCAACATCTTCGATGTTCGGGACTGTTGCCGATACAAGAAGGAATCTAACATCGGATCCTCTTGCCTTCATACGAGAGACAACGACTTCTAGGGTGCTGCCGCGAGATTCGTTGAGGATGTGGACCTGACCAACCCTTGAATGTTTTCTAGCGGGGCAATCTCGACAACAGACTCACCTCGTCCACAAGAAAAAGTTTGATCTGAGATAATATACGACTATGGTCATCCCTGAAATGAGTGAGCGTATGCTACTGTCACAACAAAAATGTTTTACCAATTCCTTGTGAGACTATCCCACTTCTCGGCCTGAGATATTGTAAGCAGTGTTTTCAAAACATGAGCAGACTGGAAACGTGCTGTAGTAACACTATTGTAGACGAAGCTACACATCAGAATCGTCAAACAATACGATGGATAGACTTACATGATTCTAGCGTTCTTGGCGTCACCCCACACGCCCTTGCCGAAGACTACAGTGTCGCCCGTGAGTTCACAACCTAACTCTTAGAACGAGCGTCATATCTGAACTACAATACATTACATACTGGGTATTCCAAGACTGCCAAATTTGGCGGTCCATTCCTTGTATTTTTCCGTACAGAGGGCCTGTATTAACCTGTAAAACGGCTTCAAGTGGGTGTAAGAGTAACACAACTTTACCTTAGTTGGGGCGACATAGACGCATTTAGTGGCCTTGTTTGTGCTCGAAGGATCGGTGACCATGCGGATAATGCCCAATTCAAAAATAACAGTCTTGCCACTTCCAGTGGGCGCTACACACTAGCTAAGCCCGAAGTACGTCGAAAAGAATGACCACACCTACCGCTAATAACCTGTATGCCTGTTTAGAGACATCTCAAGTGATAAGAATAACGCACCATATTCTCATTTGAGTGAAGCACCTAAGAACAATCAAGTCTGAAGAAATCTGAATGAAGCTTCATAAATCTTACTGCATCAAAGCAGGTCGACTGAATAGTGTTAAAAACACCAAACTTGAAGATGCTGCGAAACATATCCGCTGTCCCACCAAGTCAAGGTTAGAAACTAGTAGCAGGCGACGGTGAATATCCCTACGAAGTTCGGAAACAGGGCGCAACCGCACTGGTTGAGGTTTCTGTTGCGTATGACCACCAGGCCTATCGTTACACGAGGTGCCGTAATTAGACTCGAAGTTGTTTGTAATTTTATTCGAGTTTCCATAGTGGGTTTCTCCAGAGTACTGGTACGGGTGGTCTAAGATGAATCCATGTTGATTATAACAAAGGGCGACGATACACATGGAAAGACTGACGAATTCTCTGTGGAACATTATGATGGGCCTGATTCTGGGTCTGCACAACAGTATAATTGGCAGGGCTTGGTGTGTATTCGGGAGTAACGCTTCTATAGTCTTCCCAATAAGGTTGTGCAGCATCTGAGTAAAATGCATGGCTGGCTGGTGGATGACTTGCAAAGGCGCGAGCACGGTTGTTAATGCGTTCTGGTGGAGATGGAGAAGAATCTAAAAGAAAATGTGATATCCTCGAAGAATATTGGCGCGCATATACCCACCAAATTCGTCCCCAGACCTAGCAAAATCGTCGTAATAGTGTTGGTGTTGTCTGTAGTGCGACGTCAGCGTAAGTATCGTCAATATAAGGGGAATTTATGGCGTACTGTAGGGAAAGCATACCCGATGCCTGGTGCATCAGAGGCCACCTGTGAGATTGTTGCATTAAGCCGATAGTACTAGTGATACCAATGTTGATGGATACGATGCAAGAGCAACGCGTGACATGTCACGAACGCGCCCCCACGTGAGGACGGAAATCAAATCTAGTCACGTCTGTCACACAACACTCTGTCTCGAATCTCGATCAACGTTGTACTTATCTCATAGACGTGTTTCTAGAACTCATTCTCTGTTCAATACCCTGTTTTTTTCTCAATGGCTGATCGCCAACTTGCCAGCAAGATTGAGGAGTATATCGAAAAGTTAGCCGTAATGTTTCTTCTGTTACGATACGCTCATGTGGCTAATTTTGACATACAGGATCCACTATTCTGATCGCTACTCTGATGACTTTTATGAATACCGTCACGTCATCCTACCGAAACCGCTACTCAAACTTGTTCCGAAAGAGTTCTTTGACGACAAAGTAGGCACTCTTCGTCTACTATCGGAAGCGGAGTGGAGAGGGATCGGCATTACTCAGAGCCTCGGCTGGGAGCACTATGAAGTACATGGCAAGTAGTCATTTCAAATGAAGTCAAGGATGACATTTCCTGACAAGATGTAATTAGCACCAGAGCCACATGTCCTCCTTTTCCGTCGTGCGAAGAACTATGGACTCCCCACGCAGCCGCAACCTGCTCCAGCTGCGAGACAAGCCAATGCGAGGAAAAAGTAGCATGCTGTTCCACCTGGCTCCGGCATTTCGTTCTTTCGCTTGTCTTGCATCGCTTTCTTTGCAGTTTCTTCAGTATTATCCAGTGCGTTTCCGATACATTGTATCCATTGTTTGCGGTGGCATTTCCGGGCTTATGTCCGTTATGGTGCTTCCTCTTAAACCTTCAAGTAGTCTCACTTAGCACGATATTCAGGTTTATCAGTGAGGCTATGAACGTGCTTATATTGTGGTATGCGGCACTCCAGAGCTCTCTATTACCTTGTGCAATCCATCATCGATCAACTTACTAGCGGGAAACCGAGGTGACCTAAAACTACATTGAACGCCCTGGTGCTACTTTGGTGACTCGGTGAACTCGGCAGTCTCGTGAATGATAGGATTTCATATCCTCCTCGTGTTTAAACACTACAAAGATTTTCAAGAACCTTTTGACGCATGTCACTAGACTGGCGTTATCGTACCAATGGTTGACGTACGTGCAGCTTTGAGTTCTTTGTTTTGTTAAATGATCGGCTCGACAGGTGCGCTCCAGTACCTGCTAGTTCAGGCGGTGAACATTAATATCCAGGCATCTTTCGCTTGAAGTTTCGTTTCCGGATCCGCAGATTTTGGTAGGAGGTCGCAGATACGGCGTGGGCGCATTGCGCTTGAATTATGAATATACAAATTCATAAGTCGCTTTGTGACCGTAACATGCGACTCTCGACGCAGTTTGAATGAAGTTGTCTGTTACAATGCATACGGATCGACTCGAATGCTCTATATACACAGCAAGCCGTAACAAAAAAATGGATGTTGTCAAGAGGTGTGTAAATTTGCAATGTATGACATACCCCGCCGCAAGTAGCCCCCGGTCACAGCAATGACTGATACGGTGAAATTGAGTCATAAGCTCAACCTTGTCCCACAAAGCCTAATACCAGTCAATGGTCATACATCTTCGGGTGTGCATGTGGAACCATATGCCCACCATTTGGAGGAGATATCTCCCTTTATTTCTCAATAGAATTACAAAATTGATTATACATTGCTAACATCTCTACATAACAGTGCTGCTGAGGTTTACTACTCGGTAATGCAGCTGTAACATTACAGCTGAAGCGAACATGTGGAACAGTACGAGTCTGGGGTCATCCATTTCAGGAAAACTAGACCGAAAACGAGAACACAGCGTGTCACTGCGGTGCATAGAAACTTCTGTGCGTATTTCCGCACGCTCTCAGGCTGAGCGCTGAGCTCTCGTATACCCCAACCCGTCACGGCGTACTATCACTAATGCAGTCTCTTCCCGGTCAGATGTCTACCAGCTTTCGTCAAGTTACTTCATATACACAATAAAATTTGAATGCAAGCCAACTATAAACCGTTCAGCAATTTTCTCGGCCTGCACTCTCGCACCCTATTATCATTCGAACATTACTCGGTTCCGAAGAACAACCCTGAGTAAACACAGTCTGGACACCGGCATTCGTGGCACAATGGGAAGACCATCCTAAAGGCCCTGGTCCATTCTAAAATGACATTGTCAATTCGACTCGTAAATTACTTACGCGGACCCTGAGATCTAACTAAACCTTTCCTGACTCGGCCACTACCCACGAGACGTTCTAGTACGGCAGTCTGAATTTTGTCGCAGAGTGTCCTCGTCCCAATCCTCGCTAGTACACCAGTTTAGCTGCCTAAACCTTCCATGTGATATTCCTAAACCTTTTATTCATAGTCTACAAGGCGTCTGTTTTACTCGGGCAAATTTTGAGTAGTTTAAGCGATTTTGCATGCAGGACTTTTGATACTAACGAGACATGTTATATTGGAATATTATTCGAAAGACTTTGATTTAGGGGGAAATTTAGAAATGGGGGAGCGTGCATGGAAAGGTTTACTAGGAATAATATTAATAATACATTATAAAAAAGTTTAGGAATACTACTACATTGGGGTTTGGGCTCTACACAGGACCCAGGTCGGCGATATGTACTCTGCGATAAGGTTCAGATTGGTGTACCCACCAACGCGGTAGTGGTCAAATCAGGAAAGGTGGTCCACCGTAAGAGAGGACGGCCGACATTTAGATTTGACCAGGCCTATTAAATAATTAAATATTGTGCTCGTAAGTTGGACTGTTGGATCCATCCGAGTCCTTAATATTTATGTAAATCCAAGTCAAGAGATAAGATCTACTAGTAAGAGAGGAAGAACGTAAAAGAGATAACGGCTCCTGGATGGCCCGGAGGGCTGTGACGAATTATCACGGAAAGAGCATAGTAGACAGTCTTTCTTACAAGCTACCTTATTGACGGAAAAGAAACTCGCAATCTCGAGATGATAAAAGGAAGTACTCAAACTTAATGTCAGGCTTCATATTTTCTCCACGCACAACGTTGGCAATGTTGGGTCACGTGATGTCTGCCTCGGCTTATATTAATGATGATGCAGAGGAAGGGATACTAGATATTCATTCTCCTCAACTCGCCGATTTCGTCAAGCACGAGAAGAAGGCCGCAGACATAGAGGTATTCGACGTGCAGTCTCTTGAGAAAGATGTGCCGGTTACTCCCCCAGATGTCGCTAAGCTGCCGCCAGCCCCTGCCAAATCAGCAAAGAAGAGTACGCCCTTGTGGGTCCTCTGGGTCATCTGGTACAATACGTATAGGTGTGGTATTATACGACAATACATGCGGTCCAATACTCACCCTTCTGATTCATTAAGGCGTTTTTTCACCGTCGTGTTCGTAGCCAATTTCATTGGAATTGGCTTTGCGATTGCTGGAAAATGGCCATACGCCGCAAGATATCCTGGTGCTTTGGTCCTTGGTAATTTGAACGTCGCAATTCTTGTGCGTAACGAGATATTTGGCCGTTGCTTGTATTTGTTCGTCAGCACCTTCTTCGCCAAGGTCTGTGCCATCCATTTTTAACATTTTCAATTGGTGTTGATGTATTTTTTATTATAGTGGACTCCTCTATGGTTCCGCCTTGCCTGTACCTCCACTTTGCAGGTCAGTTTGAACTCCAAATGGCGATTTCAGGGAGCTGACGTTTCTTTACAGCATCTCGGTGGCATCCACAGCGGATGCGCAATCTCCGGCGTAGCTTGGATAGTCCTCATGGTCGTGCATCAATTCAGGACGAAGTATATGTTTAACGACTCTATACTTGTCTTCGGGGTGATCACCTCAGTCATGCTGTTCATCACCCTCTGTGCTGGTCTTCCGTGGGTCCGTAACACGCACCACAAGTGAGCACTCTGTTCGGTCGTTCATCGCAGCCTTTTGACGCCGGCACCCAGCGTATTCGAGCTGAATCACCGTTTCTTCGGATGGACTTCCTTGTGCATGACCTGTAGGTTTAACTATAACGTAGAGAAGCTCACGACCGTGCTAATTTTTGAAGGGGTATACACCATCGCGACCAATGCCTATGACACTGCAGACGGAAAGTTCGACCACGTCGGAAGATACGTCGTCCAACAGCAGGCTTTCTGGTATACGGTCGGAATGTCCATCTTGTAAGTACTGCTTTGCCTGCCTTCTCAATTAGGTTGGTGACAGCGGTTTCAGCATTGTTCTACCTTGGATTTGCACGCGACACGTCGACGTCGACGTCGAACTTCCGTCTCCGAAAGTCGCTGTTCTCCGCTTCGAGCGTGGTATGCAACAGGGTCTGCTTGCTCGCATCAGTCGTTCGGCTGTCAAGGAATATCACGCTTTCGGTATCATCTCGTAAGTCTTCAGTGTCGTCGCTATGCAATACTACTAACTCTTTGCAGCGAGGGTACCCATGCAAAGCATCACTACCTGATCTGCGGCGTGCAAGGCGATTTCACCAAGGGACTGGTCAACGACCCACCGAGAAAAATCTGGACTCGTGAGCTAAAGGTACTAAAACGACCAAAGTAATTTTCCGATTAGATTGCCATTTTTTTTTTCAGTTCGCTGGTGTGTCCAACACATCGACCCTTTACAAGCGTGGAATCCGAATCTGCACTGGAACTGGTCTTGGTGCTGCCCTTTCTACTTGCATTCAATCTCCCTACTGGTACCTGATTTGGATCGGTGCGACAATCGGAACCTCAGGCATTTGCATATAATTGACGTGTCTGCTAGGCTCCGATCAAGAGAAGACATTCGGCCCAACTATCAGTGGTCTCATCCACAGGCACATCGGTCCAGAGCGTCTCCTCCTTTGGGACTCCAAAGTCCGTGGCGGTCGTCCACCCACCATGAAGATCTTGAAGGAGGTATACGACCAGTGGGAGGCGGAGGTTGTCTTCATCACTTCCAACTACGTGGGTAACTTTGAGATCCAACATGGTTGCAAGGAAGCCGGGATTCCTGCATTCGGAACACTTTGGGACTATGTGGGTGACTCCAGAATTTTGTTGCTGATGGAGCTGAGGAGCATGTGCTTTTTCAGTAAATTTTGCGTCTGGATGCGTCGGACGCCAGACCTCACTCGAATCTTTTGTCTAAATAGGTACGCTTTCTTTTTTTTTTAAATTGACACACTATCCTCAATCGGATATCTTGTCTTGCTATTTTTGCGCACCTTCTTTGTTTCACATAATACTGATGGACTGAAGGAGTTGCAATCCATCATCGAGCTCACAAGTCGTATTGATATCATAGTCATGAGCAGTATCTTTGCGTTGTTGATGCATATGTTCATGTATATAGGCCATTCTAATGCAATATATTTTCGTGTATTTGACATTGCCTGATAAGTGGATTCGACAGTATTCGGCCCCATTTGAAAAGGAGTAACAAAAGGAGACTCGATGCAGACTCCTTCGCCAGTTACATCATGTACAATGTTTGAACCGTGTGAAATTTGTTTTGTTCTAATAGGAAAGGCGTATTCCGACACCGTCGACACTACATGCGTTTATAAACGCATTCATTTTCGAGTGCGTGCGGGACTATACATAACGTCATTGAGGAGATGTTTCCCTTGATTCAGAATATCTGGACAATTCGTCAGAGTGGCCCGTACGTACTCCC